CAGATAAACCATATATTGTCGTAGTCGTGTGTTTATTAGTCACGTTGAATGAATGAAAGCAGTTAAATCTTCTGTTTATTCAGCAACCGCTATAGGGATTTCCTGGGTTTCTTCCGCAAGGCGTATTTGGAGTTTCCGCGCAAGAGCGCCCTCTAGCCTTCGGATGGAGATTTACTACTGATCACAGAACCGTGCTTCACTGAAAGATACGCATGACAATCACAGCTTCTGTCACTTTTAGTTGCTCCCAGACTGAAAAGACTTCCTCACGGAAAAGGGCTAAAAAGTCAGGAATTAAAAGTCATTTCACCTGCCAACAGTTTGAAACGCGTTTCAACCAAAATGAAAAGCTTAAGGTCCACACGAGAGTTCACTCTGGAGAGAAGCCTCGTACCTGCCAACACTGTGGAAGGCATTTATCTAAAAAAGAAAGCCTTAAAAGACACATGAGAGTTCACACTGGAGAGAAGCCTTACACGTGCCTTCAGTGTGGAAGGTGTTTCAGTTTTAAAGGAAACCTTAAAGTTCACATGAGAATTCACACTGGAGAGTGCCCTTTCATCTGCCAACAGTGTGGAAACAGATTCAGTCTTAAGGGGAGCCTTAAAAAGCACATGAGAGTTCACACTGGAGAGAAACCTTACACATGCTCTCAATGTGGAAAGACTTTTGCTCAGAATGAAAGCCTGAACAGACATATTAGAATTCACACTGGGGAGAAACCTTACACGTGCTCTCAATGCGGAAAGACGTTTGCTCAAAACGTAACTCTTAGCAGACACATGAGAATACACAATGGAGAGAAGCCTTACACATGCCTTCAGTGTGGAAGGAGTTTCACTCAAATTGGAAATCTCAAAGTCCACATAAACGTTCACACTGGAGATAAGCCTTTCACCTGCCAACAGTGTGGAAGAAGTTTCTGCCATAAAGGAAACCTTAATTCCCACATGACAGTTCACTCTGGAGAGAGCCTTTTCACCTGCCAACAATGTGGAACAAGTTTCACTCAAAAAGGAAGCTTTAACAGACACATTGTAATTCACACTAGAGAGAAGCATTTTACCTGCCTACAGTGTGGAAGGAGTTTTGATCGACATGAAAACTTTAAAGCCCACATGAGACTTCACTCTGGAGAGAAATCCTACATGTGCACTCAATGTGGAAAGAGTTTCAAGCAAAAAGGACCCTTTAAATACCACATGAGAATTCACTCTGTAGAGACGTCCTACACATGCCCTCAGTGTGGAAAGAGTTTCAGTCAAAAACGACACTTTAAAGACCACATAAGAATTCACACAGGAGAGAAACCTTTCACATGCCAACAATGTGGAAAAAGTTTCAACCGAAAAGGAACTCTTAACAGGCACATGAGAGTTCACACTGGAGAGAAGCCGTTTACATGTGGTCACTGTGGAAAAAGTTATAGATATAAAAGAGCCCTTAAGTGCCACATGAGAATTCATGTATGAGAGAACTGTTTTTGTATGTTGTGTGGAATTAATTTCACAGATGGGAAACACTTCATGTTTGGAGACTGTATAATGCGCTGATTATTGTTACAGTACTAAATCACCTTAGAGTGCTAAATTCCGTATTCATTTCCAGTGACTATGAGAGGAGTAAAGAAGCCAGTCATGAATTAGATTAATTGTATTGATTAGTCTAATGAAGAATGAACTAGTTACAGATTTATACTTCAGTTGACGTAAAATTGTATCAAATAAAATGCATAAAACAGTGTATGCGTGCACAAAATAATAAACGATAACAGAAAAAGGCTTATGATTCAAAACATACAGTGCAAGGCCAGGGCTTTCAACAGGGCTTTTTGGGCTAAAAGCCTAGGACCTGTAGCACCAAGCCCAAAATCATGCTGCGTTTCCACCGTGGTGCCAGAAGCTCCACAGCACTTCACTAAAACCTGCTCTTAACACACCTCTCTAGAATGTCACACAACTCCATCATTTCACCAACAAAGGGAAGTTTTATCTGTCAGGAAACTAGCGAGATTGCAAAATGAACATGATAAATGTTTGACTTTATTACTTAAAAATTTATAATCCAATGTTTTGGTCAGGTCTTGAATTTCGGTGTGGGATTGCGCATATATCGCATAGTTTTACTCATTCCCGCAGCTTTCGAGTTTAAAATGATTTTAAATTCCTGCACACATTTATTCAGTATAGCGTGTAGGTTAGATGATTAAATAAATCCACACATAATAAACGAATAAATCCACGTCATTTGAAAACCGCGTGAGTGATGCAGCTGTACCGCATCTTCTCTCGTTCACTCTCTTGAAATGGCTTCTCATCTCGTGTGCTCTACAAGAGCTACGGCATGCTGTGATACAAGACTTTCGCTGTCGTTTCGGGACAGATGACAGAACTAATAGCATCTTGTTGCATTGTCACAAAAGTGTATCATTTGCACCTCTTTTTAAATACTTTTTAAGCCATTCGGTATTCGTGCGTTTCCAAGGGGCCTTTCTATTTTTCACAGTTTGTTGCACTTAAGTGGCCAAATACACACAAAATGATGCCAAAATGGCCATCTTGGCAATAATCGTAAAAACAGTCAGTTTTGTCTTAGGTGAATGTAAACAGTTGAGAAAGAAAACGTGTATCAGTTAGGGATGCTCTGATCCATCGGCCGGAGATCGGTATCGGCCGATAATCATTTTATGACTCGAGCGGTACGCACTAACTTGGCCGATCTCACAAACCTATTACAATTTGATGACGTCAACGCGTGACGACGTACATGATGCGTGGGGACATAAATGATTTGGCGGCACAGTCGCCATCGCCGATGTGGAAATGCTGTGACATTTCAAGAAGCAATGAAAAATTCGCTATTTGTCGCGTATGTTTTGCATGGTGATATGATGAATGGATGGTTTATTTTTAACAGCAGATTCAGTGAAGTTAGAGGCGCGTTACGGGTCCACGGCCACCGGAGCTAATCGTGGCCGCTCTAGTCAGTGCTTGTATTTATACCGGCCAGCCGCAGCATGTTTCTGAAGCGGCTCTCCGCGCTGCTTGGCTAAAAATAGTCCTTTGTGAGTTGGCACAGTGTGGAGGACGGAACAAAACCTTGTCGGAGCCGTAAGGGGTAACGGTAACATAATATGCTGATCGTGGGCTGCTTTAAATGAACATTTATTTATAAAACAAAATATCTTCTTTGGCCATATTAGCCTACTCCATAGCATTAACACAGGCTTTACTCCTTTCAAACTTTATCTGGAATGTCACCGTTTCTGTCACCGCAACTTCCCGATCAGGCAAACGAACACACACAAACAAACAAATGAAATCGTCTGCCTCATGAAAAAATTTATTAAAAAAAAAATTTAGTTAATATTTGCATAATTTATGATTAATCCACCATTAATGCGACCCACCCGCAAATAATCAGAATGCATTTTTTTATCACCCGACCCGCGGATTATCCGCAGCGCCCGTGGATATAACCGTGATCGAACTACTCCGTTTTGTTCTTTCAGTAGCTTAAATGTTTCTATTTTCTTTTTTCCAGTAACGTTTCCAAACGTTAAAAATGGTGCTTCTGAAAATTGTGAGGGTGCTCACAAATAATATTAATCCTAATCTTCAACTGTATGAAAATAGTACCACCAAATAGTGCTTAATTACAACGATGTGTGATATGTTTGACATAATTGAGAAAAAAAGCCACACACACTGTAATAGGTTAGACCAGTGTTTCCCAACCTTTTTTTTTAGTCGTGGCACCCTTTGGAAATTTTAACAAACTTGTGGCACCCTACAAAATTAATTTTGTCACAATATTTGAATTTCTAACTTCGATGTGATAATTTGAAAAGTATAGATATTCGGTACAACAGGGAAGAACTGCAGAATATAATGTCATACAGATATTTTTAATATTATATTTTTACACGGCACCCCTGCTCTTGACAGACGGCACCCCGGTTGGGAAACACTGGGTTAGACTACCGTACGCGCATTTAGACTGCACTTTTTACTGCGTGATAGCAAGATATGGGGGTAAAAATGCCCCTGTATGAATTTTTTTCTTTTATATACCATATTCCCATTTTTCCCAAATATCAGCACGACTCCAAATGTAATGATGAATAGTTCCAAACAAAGCCACAGCAGAACTGCTTTGCCTCTCTAAGCAACACACAGCAGTGAATCTTTTCTGAATAAATCAGCCCTTTTGAACGAATCAGTTAAATGGATGACTCAATTAATCACTCATTAATAGTGACTTACTGCCACCTAGTGACGGTTTTAGTTTCCTATTTAAAGTATCTTTTCATTTTTTTAAATAATTTCATATCAGTATTCAATGTTTTATTTTTAAAATATCATTAAAAAACATGCCTTTGTAACTGCAAGTTAAATGCATTCATGTCAAATCTGTATTGCATTAAACTGTCTGTGTAAATGCATTTAAATGACACTTCAGATGCAGCTTCTGTCACCTGAATTGCCATGACAGATTTTGTTGATGATCCAAACATTTAATTAGGTTAGAAATATTGCCCTTATAAAGGTAAAAATGCCCATAAAAATCCATTTAAACTTACTGGAAAAATTCATTTTTCACATCGAGATTACAATTAGAACAATTGTGCACACTGCAATGAAGGCACAAAAGTGTACCTTATTAAAAGCATCCTCAGGGTATTGTCCCAGCCATTTCGATTATTTGGGTGACCGCATGCAAGCATAAATAAGTACCTTGGTTAACAGATACACAATTTTTTTTTTTTTTTATAAATGTTCCTTTAAAAAGATTTAATTAATTACATCTTACAACAGCAGGAGTGTCAAGAAAAAAATTAGCAGTTCAATGAAAAACTCAAACACCAAGTATAAAGCAGTCATTTAAAACCGTAAACTAAAATTTAACATTGATATACACCTTATTACACAGGCTACATCAAGTACTGCACATTTTGAAGTTTACAGTATAGAGCAGTTTGTCTTCAGCAAGAATATCTAGTGCTAATAAATAACGTCATCAACATTGTAGGTATCTAGTGCCTGGTAATCAGAGGTGGAAAGTAACTAATTACAAATACTTTTAAGTACAAGTACATGTTTAAATTTTTTTGTACTTTCTTGAGTATTATACAATTGTGGCACTTTTACTTGAGTAGAATAAAAATAAAGCATTCAACTTTGCTACATTTATTTTTCACCAAAAGTACAAAAAAGACTGGTGCTGGTGGAGAAACAGGGCGAGCTGGTGTTCAACGGGCACTTTTCAAACTGCTGGGGTGGATCCCTGCGCTTCAGGCAGTAACAGACAGGTCTGACTCGGGTGCAAAGCCAATAGAGTGGGGGAACTATGACGTTACTTTGTATGCGGATCGGCTGTTAGCATCACACTGGTTCCCTCGACAAAAAGCCAGTGGGATTTTTCCATAGGCTTTTGGATTATCGCAAAAAAATAAGCTCTGTGTTCAATCAGAGTTCATTAAACTTACACATTTTGTCCATCAAGATAATCTTCACAAAATAATATAACTTTTATGAATTTTGATGCCTAAATAAAAGCGCCAGAACTTAAAAGCTAAACTTAGGCTATAAATGAACTACAGCACCAAGATCACTCGCCTTCGACGTCACCACCACCGTGCTTCCGACAACTGTTTCAAACGTATTTTTAACACGTTCCGTGAAAAGGATTTATTCTGTATATGAATTTTAATCCACGCTACATGAATCTTTTCATATAAACTGGAATAAATACAAAACTAGAGCCAAACTAAAACTGAAATGAGACATTTGTAATAAATAGCATAGTGAATAAAAAGACATATGAAAGCACATATTTCTGTACATTTCGAAATAAGGTGCATTAAAAGTCAATAAATCCTTGATTAATATGAATATTTTAATTAAAAATGTGTCTCCACATACTATTCAATAAAATTCTAGTGCATTTAATTATTAAATAACAGCAGAGTGAGTGAGTGTTTGGATATGGTAAGATTAAACTTATTTTCGTGAATAAAGTACCACATTTCAGCTATCGTTTTGCTAGGGTGAAAACACAAAATGTTATTTTATCCTTGCTTCAAGAAAATCCTCGATCTATATGTTTTCTAACAGCTGTTTGTGGCTGTAAACATTTAAATTTAACGTGGCTTTAAGCACTATGCATCGTTAAAGTTTCACTTTCACCTTATTTTAGGGGATTTAACCAAACTCCCATTCAAATAACCCATTGAGTCTGGGACAATTGAACCGGAAGTGCTAAAATGCTAACTCGCTTATAGTCATAGTTAAGCGAGTTCCACCACGCTATTAATCCTTCCAGTTCAGCTGGGGGGCGGGGCGTTCAAACCGCACTTTGCTTTGACTGTCAATCACTGGCTCTGGCGTTTTGAATCAGCATGATTAGCGTTTCAATATTTTAGTGAATGTAAGTGAGCTATGCTCTGATTTTAAATTGTAATTTTGACAGCTCCTGAAATGGGTCATACCACGGATATTACCAGAGCACTCAGCAGTTTAAGTAAATAGAACACTTGGTTGATAGAAGGATGCATGCAGTTATTGCATGGACAGAGCAAGAACAATATAAGTGTCTAAAATGCATGCACACAGTTTAGTTAAATGGTAAAGCTTGCCCCCTTTAACAGTGCAGTTAAACTAAATCTACAAAGCTGAAATAGCTCGAACATTAACAACAACACCGAAATAAGAGCATATGCAATTTTTTTGTGCATCTGACTGAAAGAAAAAGACTCACACACTGTTTTCATGCAAAGTGCATGCACAGAAAAAGCGATTTTAATATGATTATATATGATTTTAATATCAAGCATTGAAGTCAAGAAGATTCGCGTGCGGTGTTCTCTGCTGCACACATAGAAAGCCGCCTCTCATACTGTATATTAGAAACCTGCGTGGGATGGATTTTTCAGTTCCGCTACCTTTTC